AGGGAAGAAGGAAAAGGAGAAAGGAAGAGGGATGGGAAGGAGAAAGGGAGGAAAGAAGGAAAGGAATGGGAAAGGAAGAGGGAAGGGATGGAAAGGGAAGGAGAAAAGGAAAGGAAGCGAGAAGGAAAGGAAAAGGAGAAAGGAAGAGGGGAGAGAAGGAGAGAAGGGAAGAAGAAAAGGAATGGGAAGGGAAGGAGAAAGAGGGGAAGGGAAGAGAAGGCAAAAGGGAAAGGAAGAGGGAAGGGAAACTGGAGAATCCACCTATCGTCCTCTTTAATGATCCCTGTGCATTGTAAAAAATAGAGGGAGGGGCAACACCCATCCATCAAGTGGTCGCCCTCCAAAGTTGCCAAGCCAAGAAGCCCAACCAGAAAACTCCCTCCATCTTTGGGCCTTGGGAGACTTCCTGCCTTTCTCCTCACTTTTTTTCTTTCCTTACTCTATGGAGAACTAGGGAGTATCTTCTCTGAAAGCCACCCCCCCCCACTCTCCCCACCCCCATTCTTGGGCCGAGATCTATCTTGCACAATCCGTTACAGGCTCTCCCTTCAGCCTCCCAAGGCCATTCCCACAGACCACAACACCCAGATAAGGTGGCAGCGAAAATGTTATCAGTGCCTTCTTTTATTCCCCTCGAGGACGGATGTGTCACCTCCAAGCTGGGCAGGGGGGGGAGGGGGAGGGAGGGGGGAATGGCACATTTTTTTTGCAACAGATTTTGTTTACCTGAGCTTTTCCCCCACCTACTTGCTCAGGCCCAGGGAGCTGTGAAGTTTGTGCAAGGAGAAATAGGTGGACAGGAAGACCTCCTTCTTCCTTACAGGGTGGGGATGCCTGCCTTCCCTGGAGCCAGGAACTTCTCCTTTCCTGGCCACGAAGTCCAACGCTTCCTTGTCATCGTGGTTGTCATTCCAGATGGGAGGAGGAGGAGGAGGAGGAGGAGGAGGAGGAGGAGGAGGAGAAGAAGAAGAAGAAGAAGAAGAAGAAGAAGAAGAAGAAGAAGAAGAAGAAGAAGAAGAGGAAGAGGAAGAAGAAGAAGAAGAAGAGGAAGAAGAGGAAGAGGAGGAAGAGGAAGAGGAAGAAGAAGAAGAAGAAGAAGAAGAGGAAGAAGAAGAAGAAGAAGAAGAAGAAGAAGAAGAAGAAGAAGAAGAAGAAGAAGAAGAAGAAGAAGAAAACCAAGTTTCTCCCTTTTTCTGAAATCCAGAATAAATAGTCCTTCTGGCTTGAATTGCAGTTGGCTGCAATTGCTTCTTTGAACTGAAGCAACTTTTCTGGTTTTTTTTTCTTTTTTGAGTGGGGAGACTCTGGTTTTTGGGAGACCTGATTACAGCTTTGCATCTGAACGGAGCATTAACTAAAATCCTGGCTTGAAAACGAGAGAGATGGAGGAGGAGAGGGAGAAGGAGGAGGGGAGGAGGAGGAGAAGAGGAGGAGGAGGAGGAGAAAGGAGGAGGAGGAGGGGGGGAGGAGAGAGGAGGAGGAGAGGAGGAGGAGAAAGGAGGAGAAGGAGGAGGGATGGAGGAGGAAGAGGAGAAGAGGAGGAGGAGGAGAGGAGGAAGAAGAGGAGAAAGGAGGAGGACCAGGACGAGGGGAGTAGGAGGAGGAGGAGGAGAAGGAGAAGAAGAGGAGAAGGAGGAGGAGAGGAGGAGAAAGAAAAGGAGAGAAGGAGGAGAGGAGGAGGAGGAAGAGAAAGAGGAGGAGAGGAGGAAGAAGAGGAGAAAGGAGGAGGACCAGGACGAGGGGGGGGAGGAGCAGGAGAAGGAGAAGAAGAGGAGGAGGAGAAGGAGGAGAAGGAGGAGAGGAGGAGAAAAAAAAGGAGAGAAGGAGGAGAGGAGGAGGAGGAGGAAGAGAAAGAGGAGAAGAGGAGGAGGAGAGGAGGA